GAACATTCTCATAGCAAAAGTTTGGTTCCTTAAAACCTTTTCACCTGTTGAGGACAGAAGGAAGCCCTAAACCTAGGTGTCCCAGATGCCATGAGGAGTTGCATACAGCACTGTTTCTTCAGAAGCATCAGGGTCATCCTTATCAGGAGCAGAGCAGAGCTCAGCCTTCAGGAAACAGATCCTGGTGGGGACAGGTGGCCACAGGGCTCTGTAGAGCGAGCACAGGTGTTAAGCCTATCTGTACCCTTGCACAAGGCGTGTACTTTCAGGTAGGGGAGTTCTCTGGAAAATTTGCTCAAGGTTGGTTCTTTTGTGAGTTCTGCCTTATTTAAGGAGTTCACATGTGCTAAGAAGCAGGATTCTCTTTTGTGGGCTCAAAACACTCTTTCCCCTGCGTGGCAAGCAGTGCTGGTCAGCTGGGGAGAAGAGCAGAAGGAATCCACTGCCCCTCAGAGCTCAGCAGGAACCAAGCACTGACACCTGGTAAGAAGGGAAACGTGGGACTGAGATGCACAGGGTTACAGTGATGGTGGGAGGGGGCGGTCAGAGGGGACAGTCAGCATCTCAGGAGGGAAGGGGTAAGAAGCCAGGTTATTGCATGCAGGAGCACAGGTCAGAGGGCTATGGGGCTGCTGGGCACAGGAGAGACCTGCTTGCCTCACATTGTTTTCACCTGAATTTGAGGTTATTCGAGAGAGTTTTTCAAGAGTTATGAAATCTTTGAGGCAAAACAAGGATATAAATACATATGATTAACAACTTTACCTTAACTGCTTCTACTGTTCTGGTGATCTTCTGTGTTCCTATGCAGAAAAGATGGTGCAAGTCATGACACCTCCTCTGCTGTTGCTGCTGAGCCTATTGGGGCTACTGTGCGCTGCTGGGGCTACTCCTCCAGGTTACACCCCATTTCAGTGGTTCAAAGTTCAGCACATACTGCCGAACTCTCTCCCGTGTGACCAGGCCATGATTGCTGTCAACAGACCGAATGGGGTGTGCAAGCAGAGAAACACCTTCCTGCACGACGCTCTCCAGAATGTGATCAATGTCTGTAAACAGGGCACGACACCCTGCAACAATGGTCAGAACAACTGCCACCAAAGTGCCAGGCCTGTGAGAATGACTGACTGCAGGCTCCTTAGAAGCCAGTTTCCTAACTGCCACTACAGTAATACTTCCATCACCAAAAACTTCATTGTGGCCTGTGACCCACCTCGCAGGGATGACCCTCAAGATCCCCTGGTTCCTGTGCACTTCGATCGGGTTATCTAAGGCTTAGATCAGCTTTCCTCTGTCTGGGCAGGCAGCTTATATTACACTTTGTGCTTCTTTCTCTGTTTCTCTCCTTTTTCTTCATCATTTCCCTTTTTGATTTTCTTGTTCTCATAAAAGAAAGAGTGGAGGTGTTGGGAGAACTAGAGCGCCCAGGATACTGTATGTATAGGTGAATAATTCCTGTCTGCTTTGAGATTTGTCTGTAGTGGAACAAACAATCTATTGAAAAGGGGAAAGTTCTAGGCCTTTGTCACTTTTGCCCAGCCTCACCGCACTGCATTCACAGCAATAAAGAACTTCCTGCTGCATTCAAGTGAGTGAATGTGTTTGTGTCATCTTTCAAATCGTGTGCCGCCCATTTTCCAACAGGACGTCTGCTCCTAGGGTCTTATTCTGCTGCATGGTGGGTTGAACAGATAGATTCCTGAGTCTTGGTTACATCGAGCACAGATTTCCTAAGTGCACATCCACTGGCAAAGGAGAAAGCAACTCCATTTTTAAAGATGAAAGGCTGAGGTGTTCTGGTGGTAGGAATGCAAAAGTGGGGTCAAGGTGACAGGAACATAAAAGGTACACAAATACACCAGGCTGTGCATTTTAAAGGATGTGCTTCTCAGCCCAGGGCCTCTCTCTGGGTCTCTGGGTAAGACTGACAGCAGTGACTGACAGGGGGGTCAGTCTTCTCAGAGGCACCGTAACTGCATGTGTATCCCAGAGTTCCCTCTCAGAAGGTTACACATGAGGTGCAGACCGTGCCTGTCAACCTTTAATGAGATCAAATGGGGAAAGTGTTCCTGAAGGCCAGGGCTAGCATGCCTGTGCTCTGGCCTGGCGCTGCAGAGATCTTGTGTACTTTTGTTATGCTTCTCCCTGCTTCTGTCAGAGCGTTAGATTAAGGAGGGGAGGGATAGCCTGGGGTGTTTCCTACATTTAGCTGGTGGGGGGGAGTGGTCTCCACCCCATTGTGCTACCTGCTCTACTGGGCCTCCTTGAGGTCACCCTCAGAGCTCAACCACTCCTTTGCCCCTGTGTCACTGTCAGTGCAGGTCAGGAATCCTTTGTTCCTTCACACTCTGCTCATCGTGGTTTATGTGCCCCTCAAAGCAGAGTCCCTTCTCATTTGGAGATGAAATAGATGCCAGAGACAGAGAATCATCCTTTCTCTTTTATTATTCATTCTGTGTCACAGCATTTGTGGAAACTGGGAATTAAACCAGGGAAAAGCTGTGCCACACTTGTTTCTACTTATTTTTTAAAATTTTAAGAAAGGATATGCATTATTTTTTTAAGGATCTGCCTCAAATAGACCTCAAGACTCACAATCTTAGCCTCTTTTTAAAATGGTGCTGGAAACTGGGCTTCCCACATTCCGAAGGCTAAAATTACACCCATGTCTATTACCATGTGTTAAGCTCTGGTCAGTATGGATCAAAGACTTAACCATTGAAACAGAAACATTATATCTTCTGGAGGAAAATGGAGGTAAAAATTGTAAAGATATAGGAGTAGGCAGAGTTCACGAACAAAAACTAAATTGCATGGGAAACACTTCAAAGAATCAACAACTGGGATCTCATCTTTTTGTAAATTATCTGCACTTCAAAAGAAATCTCCAACAGGCAAAAAGAAAACCTACAATCTTGGAAAAATTTATAAGCAACAGTCCATCCCACAAGGCCTTTTATCTAGGACATTTAAAGAATTAAAAAAATCAGAGGGCTGGCCAGATAGCTCAGTGGACTTAGGCTCCTGCTTAGGCAGAGTGCAGTGGCAGGGGTTCAGTCCTCAGTGTGCCATGCCAGCCCCACCCCAGGGGAAACCTAAGAGGGGAATGAGACTGGGTATGGTGGTATGTGCCTGTAATCCCAGCCCTGGGGAGGCTGAAACAGGAGAATCACTACAAGTCGTATCTTTGTAGTGAGACCCTATAGATCCTGTACTAAATACCAACAAACAAACAAACAAATAATTAAAAAATCAGGCCCCCAAATTCAAAGACCCAATCAGAAATGGTCATCTGACATGAATACACATTTTTAAGATGAAGAGATACAAATGGCAACTAAATATATTGACAGGAAAACTGTCAGGGAAAAGGCACCCTCAGACCCACACAAGCCCACACTCATGGTAGCTGGCACAAAAGGAGCAGTTTATTGACTGAAGCTAGCATGTGCCAGGCTGCTCAGTGGATCTGAGTAGCAGCAATGGCTGGGAAGGCAAGGACTTTCTAGAGCAATGAGCATGTGCGGACCGGGAAGGTGAGTCACAGAGTGTCCCTGGCTGGCCCAGAGTGTTCTGGGAAGGCGGGAATGTGGAAGAGGAATCATAAAGTGTCCCTGGCTGGGTCAGGGTTATCTGGGCACAAAGTGTAGAGTCCTTGAAGCAAGCTAAAACAAAGTTATATGTGTAAGCAGCTGGATGCAGACATTCAAGGTTAAATCTTTGCAGCACAGTTGTGGCTGGCACATCCAGGAACATCAGAAGTGGGAAGCAGGGAAAGGGGCCCATGGCTGGGTGCCTTAACATATATGAAAAAATATTCAACATAATTGTTCATTTTGGGGGGCTCATGGGTTTCCTCAGTTGTTCAAGCACCTGCTGGGGCAAACCCAGTCAGGTACAGGGGACCATGGTTCAACTCCCAGTTCCCTGTACCTTACCAGACCTGCCCTTAAGGCAGCATGAGCCAGCCCCCACCGACAAAAATGGTCATTTGAAAAATGCAAATTAAAACAACCCAGAGATTTCATTTCACCCAAGAAAAAAATGGCTAACTTCAAGAAGTCAACCAATAACAAATGCAGAAGCAGCTGTAGGGGAAAAGGAACACTTCTCTACTATTGGCAGGACTGCACATTGGTACAACCACTGTGAAAATCAGTGTGGAGATTACTTAGAAAGCTAGGATTGGAGATCCCACTCAATTTAGCTAGTCCTCGCCTAGATTTTTTTCCAGAAGAACTGAAAGCATCGTACTACGGAGATACATGTGTACTCATGTTTATAGCAGTGTAATTTGTCATAGCTGAATCTTGGAAACAAGGCAAACACACATCACCTGAGGGATGAAAAAAGAAGATGTCATATTTTTATGCAAAGCAATATTATTCAGCTATAAAATAGAATAAACCTGAGGCTTCTATCAGTAAGTGGATGTAAATAGAGACCATACTTTTAAGTGAAGTAAATCAAACCCACATGTGCAAACATGGTATTGTCTCCTTAGTGTAAAAACCTGAAAGAGAAAATAAAATCTGAATAGTACAACAGATTCTTGGAAAAGGGAAAGAACCCATTCAAAAGGAAGGAATTGCTAAGTTGAGAAGGATAGGAGAGCGAGTGTGGGAATGAGATATATGTATGTGTACAAGCAGGATGGTTTGGACAACCGTCCTGTGGATTTCTGCTGGCCTATGGCAAGGAGCAATTAATGCTTAATTTGTTTGTCTCCTCTTTTCAGTTTTTTCTCCTTTTTCTCTGCCTAACCTCTTATATATTTCTGATTTTCTTTCTTCTTCCAATTTTGCATGCATAAATCTGGTAATAGGAACAACACTGCATTACAACACATTCTGTGCAATTTATATTATTTTGTTAAGTGAAATTCTACATCACTTGTAGTTTTCTGTTTTTATACTACTTTGTACTCTCTTTAAAAAAACAAATAAAATGAAAAAAGCTCACAATCTTCCTGTCCCACCACCCAACCTCTCATGTGCTGAGATTCCAAATATGCACAACTATTCCCCATGATCCCTAATCCTTCATTAATTTTTTAAAAATGTGAAATAAGTTCACGTTAAGAGCTCAGATTAAGAGCAGCCTTTCCTCTCATTATTAGAGAAAAATCTCAAAGTGCAAATATTGAAGGAAATGTCACAGGGAAAGCAAGAACCTGACCTAGGAGTGATTTGCTCTTGTCTTTTTGTTTTGCTTTGTTTTGTTTTTCAGTACTGGAGAACAAAATCACTTCCTCCACTCAGAGTTACATCCCCAACCCTAATATTTTGGACAACAGTAACATGACTTATTATGTTACTAGTATCCAAGAATGGGCTTGAACTTGCAATCCTCCTGCCTCAGCCTCCCAGAGTGTTGGGATTCCAGGCCTATGTCTCTGTGAGTATTTTTTCTACTAAGATGAGCCTTTCTATGCAGACTGGGCTGCTTTGAATTAGAATCCTGGCTTAAGCACCGGAGTGCTGGGTTAAGTACTCTTTTTATAAGGACTCATTTGGGATGCTGCTTTGTGTTGGGGGGAGGTACTGCTGGCAGAGTGACTCCTGGCTCCTAACTTGAAGAGGGAGGAGCAGGAGTGGCTGGACAGCCAGCAGGGCACACGGGCAGCTGGTGATCTTCTTGTCACTGCACAGCATTTAGAATGAGGTCACTCTGGGGAAAGGGGCTCCAGGCCAGGCCACTTCCTCAGGTTTGCTGGGGGAAGGAAGCTGCCCATAGGAAGTCTCTTGTGTGACTCTCGCCTGTTCTCTGAGGCACATGCAGCTGCACAGAAACCGACACAGCACAGGCACACAAGACACACACACCCAGCAAAGCCCGGGGACCTCTTTGTGGTTTTCACCATTTGGAGGTCGAGGGAGTAACAAAAGGCAGACAAGGTGATTGTGGATGAGAGAAGCCTGAATCCCCCGCCCCCCGGGTCTGGATTTCTCACCTACCTGCGTTCCACATCTCCCAATGTTATGGGTCGCTCAGAATAGGAACCAGATCAGAAGATAGATTGGAATTTAAAGGAGCCTTCATCACTGAGCTCAGGAGCATCAGTTAGTTCTCATGCAGGAGAAGACTGAGTGGGCTCTAGCCCAGGCAGCAAAGAGTTTTTAAAACAAAAACATCACATGACTAAGCGGTCTTTCACAGTTCAGGGATATGTGCAACTTGCCCATGTGGAGGCTTGTTGAGCAAGCTATTTTACAAGATACGTCTTAGGCTGATTATGTTTACAGGAATAGATTAGGGAAGGGAGGGAACCA